CTTACGGTTTTCAAATGGAATACTAGAGAGTTTTTAGAATTTTTCATATAATACGTTTATGAACTAGTTTTTCGATGTCCAATCCGTTAATAGTCACAATAAAAAGTTCACTGACCGTTCCCTCTAATTAGCTTAAATCAATTAACAATGGGCAGTGTGAATAAAAACTAAGCTTTCACTTTTAGTATTAAGTGATAGCTTTAGCTTTTACTAGGTAAATTTAGCTTTTGCTAATAGCATTTGCTGAAAGCGAAGCGAATAACCTTTTCCTTTTACTCACTAGCATAAGCTAAATATTTGAAGCGTTTACTGAAAATACGGAGATTTCACGCAATCTCCGTTTCTACAGCATTCTCAAAAAGTGTGTTTGCGAGTTTTATACTGATAACGCCGATATTTATATTTTTATAAACCGGAATGGTATGAGGTTTCATCCAACCCGTCAAAAACCGTCCCATGAACAGTCTAGAAATCACTCTGTATATGAATTTCGGGTTCAACGCACAAATTTTAGGCTTTGTGCAGAATCATGACGCTACGTACGGTTTCTTGATGTGTTGGAACAAAGCTATGACTTGCGGTGTGAAGACATTGAAAGAAGTCAATAATTGGGTACGTTCACCAGTACTCAGCAGCTAACTTACAGCATAAAGCAGTTGAGGATAGTTGAGATACAGTGAATGTGAACTTCCTGAACGCCCGACACTTCTGCAGTGACCTTAACTTCTGCGCATGGAGAAATCGGCAGCAACTGATAAAAAGCGGCTTACGCTGAGCGCCGCTCAACGCGATTGGATACGTCCGCCAGCACTCAACTGTTGCCAACACTTGAATAGTAGGGAAAAACAATCGCGTTCAGCGGCGCTCAGTAAAAACCGCTTTTTGTCAGCTGCTGACTCAACTTATTAAATTGTCATTTGTCATAACTCCCAACTATGCGTTCAGGAAATTTACATCCGCTGTATCTCAACTGTCCTCACCTGCTTTACACTGCAAGTTAGCTGCTGAGTACTGGTGAACGTACCCATTGTTTCCCCAACTACTCAACTGTTGGCAACAGGTGAGCGCTTGTGGACGTACCCATTTTAAACAAGAAGCGGTATCGAACGCCAGCGCTTCAAGGTGGAAATGAATAGTGATTCAGACAATTCTAGAAGTGATTTGTTGGAGGAAGAGCTTCCTGATAAATCTTCAGCCAACCTCAAATTCACAGACTGTATACTCTTCAGCACGACTTTCTTTTCTTCCGGGATAAAATTTAGCAGACCTTATATTCGTAAACGCAGCCATTTCTGCCAAACTTTTAAACACCACTAAAATGTTAAAGCCAAGGTTTACCAGGCTTGCAAAAATGTAAGTTTTCCCTTCATATAATTAGAAATTTCTTAATTTTATTCACATCGTTTGAAGACAATGCTGAAAACTGTAGCTTTTACTAATTGAGTTTTTAGTTAAAGCTAATACTCATTTTTATTCACTGCAAAGTAAGTATTTGTTAAGGAAATGCAAGATAATGCTTCTACTAAATTTTTATTCACACTATCCAATTGTCTTGCTAAGTATCTGACTAAACAGCTCACACCTTATATAAGTACATATAAAAGGCAAAATATGTCTGTGTGTCCAGAAGTTTCACATACTTCTAAATGAGCTAGAAACATGAAATTTGGCACAATTATAGGGGTTTGTAATCTCATCGAAAGAAAATTATCAAATTGTGCAAATTCCACCCCTAAACCCTCTTAGAGAGAGATGAAATGCTAATTTTCCTTTCTTCTCCAGTTTTATACTATGAAACCCCACTTTAAGGGTATTAGGCTATGAATGAAAGTTCAAATTGATGATATCTGATAAGGTAAAATCCCGATTTCGGTATTATCTAGGGAATGAAACACACCTGTTCATTAAAAAATCCATGAGTTTTCACTTTGTTGCCTCGGCTTTCACATAATGGCACTTGGCAGGATTTTTTTTTTAAATTTGAATAAAGCAAAACTATTCATTTTCTGATTCAAATTATTGAACGAGAACGAAAACTGTCAAGAACTGCCAAAAACATGATAAGAATAGTATATTACAATCCGAGACGGGAAATGCTTTATTGCTGGTCGAGAGGTTATATAGTTTTGCTGAACCTCGAGACAGCAATGAAGTTTCCCGTCGAGGTTTGTATATTTATTTTTAACCATAATTTCTTGAAAAAAAAAAAAAAAATTGTGATAACCAAATGAGGTCGGAAAATGAGGACAGGAAATGAGGAGGGGAAATACTTCGCTGCTCCATTTTTCGTCCGTGGACGGGAAATGAGGACGGAAAAAATTTCCCGTCCTCATTTCCCGTCCTGGGACAGGTAATAGAGCAGGAAAATGAAAAGACAGAAATGTGACATTTTCAAATTTTTGAAAAGTCAGTAATGACAACATTTTATATATGGTTAAAAATAAAGTATAATTCCCGTATACCAAAATACTTCCTTAATCGGGGTTAGTTAATCATTCATGATTAATGTGTAGGTAGGTAGGTACCTAATCATGATTACCAGGTAGACTATGTACCAAAATTATCGGATATTTGTTTCAAAAAAGAAATGTTATTTTAATTCGTACTGGCAATTTTGTTAAAATTATTGTTGGAAGCATTTAAAATAAATATGCAGAGCATCTACGAATTTACATTTATAAATCTGACGTCACAAGTCGACCTCGTTGACATCGCCTCTGCCGTCTGAAGTCGCAAGCTCTCAGCGGTGTAAATTGTGCCATTTGGAGTTGCACATGCATGGATCAATCAAAACTGAATGATAACTCGACATGCCTTTTTTCTCGTGATTTTTTGTTTAAATCACTTTAGATGCTATAGAAAGAAAAAAATATTTCGCTAGGATTTAATAAATAGTCCCCAGTATATCGACCCTGAAATTTTGTAACTCATGTACACGCCCAACTTCCTGAGCGGCCTCATAACGCCAAGTCGGACAATATTTTTCATGTCTCCACCCTGGGCGATGGGACATTGCTGCGCTAGCTCTTCGTGAAGTTGTCGTTCTGACGTCCCTAAGGAAGTTGATACATGTACGTGTAGTTTCAATGCCAATCGACTGTTTTTTACATTACAATAACGATATCACATTTGTCGGACAAAAACCATGTGGCTTTGGGGAAGGTCCGAGGGAAGGTCCGACACCCCCAACATGTCGCTGTGGCGTCCCTAAGGAAGTTGATACATGTACGTGTAGTTTAATGCCAATCGACTGTTTTTTGTATTACATTAACGATATCATATATGTCGGACAAAAATCACGTGGCTTCGGGGGGGGTCCGACGCTCTCAACATGTCGCTGTGGCGTCCCTAAGGAAGTTGATATATGTACGTATGTTTTTAATACCAATCGACAGTTTTTTACATTACATTAACGATATCACATTTGTCGGACAAGAAAATTGAGACAATCAATGAAACAATTAAAATTAGTTTGCCTTAATGCAACGTGCATATTAGTCAGTTTATTATTTACCTACTTTGTCAAATACCTGTGGGGCCCTGTGTCATATTCCCTGATCTGTTTTCTTGATAGTTCTCCGAGTATTTAATTTACGAACATTATTTAGTGAACGGTCATTCAAAACCACGCGTGTGAGAAAGAATGGATATTCAGTCGTGTTTTTTGTACAATCTCAGGAGGGACGATCCTGAATTTCGGCAGAAGTTGATCAGAAGGACTTTTGTTGTCCGACTGACTTTAATACTCATTTTATTTGTCCGACATTTACTACACATGCTTTAAAATTACATTATTATTCATAATTATTTTTGTCGGACAGACATGTATCAACTTCCTTAGGGACGCCACAGCGACATGTTGGGGGCGTTGGACCCCCCCAAAGCCACGTGATTTTTGTCCGACCTATGTGATATCAATAATTTAACATAGAAAACAGTCGATTGGCATCCAAACCTCACGTACATGTATCAACTTCCTCAGGGACGCCACAGCGACATGTTGAAGGCGTCGGACCTTCCCCAAAGCCACATGGTTTTTGTCCGACAAATGTGATATCGTTAATGTAATATAAAAAACAGTCGATTGGCATTGAAACTACACGTACATGTATCAACTTCCTTAGGGACGTCAGAACGACAACTTCACGAAGAGCTAGCGCGGCAATGTCCCATCACCCAGGGTGGAGATATGAAAAATATTGTCCGACTTGGAGTTATGAAGCCGCTCAGGAAGTTTGGCGTGTACATGAGTTACAAAATTTTAGGGTCGATGTACTGGGGACTAAAATTCTATACTTCCATTTTCAAATTGAATTTCCTATCTAAAATGTTCCGCGTTGAATACTTAATACATTTTTGAACTGAAATACAACGAGAAAATTCAATTTTTCCGATGAAAAGTTAGGCGGCTCACACCTTCAACTCAAATATGTTTGTCCAGCGAAACAGAATTTCACAGAATTTGATTTTTTTTCCGAGAAGGAATGCCAAATTACAAAAATTTTCGAATAAAACCCAATCAAAAAAATACCATTGCGTGGTATCAATCTGATCTGAGTTAGAAATAAACCTAAAAGTTAGAGGGATGAGTTCGGTAATGAGCCATCATGCTTTTTATGGATGAAAATTAACTCTCGCATTTTATTTAAAAAAAAACACTCGTAGAAATTATAGGTATGTATTTAAAAAAAAAACATTAATTGAAATTTGAAGTTAAATGAAAGACAAAAAATTATAGTATGTGGGGTTATCAGAAGATTCAGTATGAAAAATTTAAGCAAAGTTATCAAAACTATACAGGATGGTCTAGTTATTGAAATTTTGAAAGTTGAGGTCATTTATGATTAAACCGGAAAAGATGCCAGTTGCTCATAATATTATATCTATATTATGTAACAAAAAACGCATGAGTATTAACTATAAGTAGTTAACAACATTTTAAACTTATTCTGGTGAGCATAAACTAGAAACACCCTATATGTTCTTGAATAAAATTTCAGTGCTGATGGAAACTTTGAAGTGACGCTCGCCACTAAAGCCACCCTTAACTTTACCGGAAGGGTAGAATGGAAGCCTCCGGCAATTTATAAATCCTCTTGCGAAATCGATGTTGAGTACTTTCCGTTCGACGAACAAACTTGCGTCATGAAGTTTGGTTCGTGGACTTATGATGGATTTCAAGTAGACCTTCGTCATATTGACGAATCAAAGGGATCGACAACTGTAGATATTGGTATTGATTTAACCGAATTTTATACATCGGTTGAATGGGATATACTAGAAGTTCCAGCAATAAGGTACATAATTTGAATAATCAACATTACAAACATTTAATTTTCAACTTTGGTTGATTGATTCTTTGGTTTGGGCAAGAAAGTTCATTGAAACATAGGCGGTCAAGTTTCAGCTGCCAAACAGATATTAAGCTTTTGATATCTGCTTAACAAATATTGTCGTTTTGTTATTATATTTTTTACGTTCGGTTTTTTTTTTAAATATTCAATATTCCCTCGGAGCTTAAACTTGCTAAGTCTTTTTCAAAAACTCCGCTTGCGTCGGCTCGAACTTAGTTTAACCTTTGTTTCTATATAATAATGATTAAACTCTTCCATTTTAACAAATGTCAACTCATGGTCTCTTTTTTGTCCTAACCTTGGATTATGTCGTAACCATGTAAATAAATATATAGATACTGGTTAATTTTCAATTTATTTTTCAGGAGCGAAAAGTTTTATACATGTTGTGATGAACCATATCTCGACATCACTTTTAATATAACAATGAGACGGAAAACCCTGTTTTACACTGTAAATCTCATAATTCCGTGCATGGGTATTTCGTTCCTCACAATTTTAGTGTTCTATTTACCTTCTGATAGTGGGGAAAAAGTAAGTTAATTCTCCATTTTATAAACGAATTTTTTCATTTTTTTTTTCCAAATATTTTTAGGTCAGCCTTTCGATATCAATTTTACTATCGTTGACTGTATTTTTCTTGCTACTGGCTGAAATTATTCCTCCAACATCATTAGTGGTGCCACTTTTAGGAAAATTCGTCCTATTTACAATGATTTTAGATACATTTAGGTAAAAATTTATTGCTCGAATTAGCTCTAATTTATAATATTTTTATTTTTTCCAGTATTTGCGTCACAGTTATAGTTTTAAATGTACATTTTCGTTGTCCACAAACTCACGTGATGTCTCCGTGGGTGAGAAGAGTTTTTATTCACATTCTACCACGTTTATTGGTAATGAGACGACCACATTATATGATAGATAGAAAAAGGTAAGCAACATTTGTAGAAAACCGCTTCTTTTTCAAAAACACGATATCCCTTATCTTATTCTCCGTGAATTCACACTCCGTTTTCAGCACTGTACAGTTTTATTTTAAGCAACCATCTTAACGTGCGATCAATAAGGTTTCTTTAAATAAAATATCACTTTAGTTAAAAAAAAAACCAGGTTGAAATGGCTGAAAATACGGAAAAAGGTAATTTTTTAATAGGTACCTAGTTATTTAAGCAACAAGTTTTGAAAACGAGTTTTTTCGCACGGTCGATACAGACCGAGCCGTAGGCGAGTTCCACAAGTCGCGCGAGTGTGAAATAGTTATTTTCCTAACAAGTGCGCAAAGTGTTACTTTTCCGCACGCAAACACAGTTATACGAACGACGCGCAGCGGAGTTCGGATAAGTGTTTGCGTGCGGAAAAGACACTTTGCGCACGTGTTAGGAACAAAATTTTTCCTACGAGCTTCATATCAAGTAGGTAACAACAAAAATTAAAAAAAAAAAACGATAATTTGTTCAATTATTTTTAATTAACTTGGAGCGAACCTACGCATTTATCAAAAAATTACGTAACAAAAAAAAATAAATTAAAAAATCCTCGTCAGAGCTGTTCATCTTAAAGCGTTTAAATTTGATGAGAAAGTTTGTAGATTCTTGCATATAAATAGAGAACAAATCTAACAATATGTCAAAGTTAATTATATTCGGTGTTCGTATAGATGTAGGCTGATAAAGAAACAGAGAAAAACTTGTCATCATATGTCAAAGTCGACAGGTACACTTATTGTTGCTTGACAATTATTTTTACTTTTCGGCACTCAGTGCGGATAAGGCCTGTATCCGCACTGAGTGCGGAAAAGTGTAACTTTGAGTACTGAAATGCGTGCGGAAAAGTACTACTTTGCGCACGCTCGTAGGAAATAGTTATTTTCCTAACAAGTGCGCAAAGTGTTACTTTTCCGCACGCAAACACAGTTATACGAACGACGCGAAGCGGAGTTCGGATACGTGTTTGCGTGCGGAAAAGACACTTTGCGCACGTGTTAGGAACAACATTTTTCCTACGAGCTTCATATCAGGTAGGTAATAACAAAAATTAAAAAAAAAAAAACGATAATTTGTTTAATTATTTTTAATTAACTTGAAAGGAACCTATGCATTTATCAAAAAATTACATAACAGAAACAAATAACAGAAAGTCCTCGTCAGAGCTGTTCATCTTAAAGCGTTTAAATTTGATGAGAAAGTTTATAGATTTTTGCATATAAATAGAGAACAAATCTGATGGGTCAAAGTTAATTTATAATTGGTGTTTGTATAGATGTTGGCTGATATAGAAATAGAGGAAAAATTTGTCATCATGTGTCAAAGTCGACAGGTGCACTTATTGTTGCTTGACAATTATAATTACTTTTCGGCACTCAGTGCGGATAAGGCCTGTATCCGCACTGAGTGCGGAAAAGTGTAACTTTGAGCCCGGAAATGCGTGCGGAAAAGTACTACTTTGCGCACGCTCGTAGGAAATAGTTATTTACCTAACAAGCGCGGAAAGGTATACTTTTCCGCACGCAACGGCGTTTGCACGAACGACGCGCCAGTGGAGTTCGTGCAAGCCGTAAGTGCGGAAAAGATACTTTACGCTCGTGTTAGGTACATCATTTTTCCTACGAGCGTGCGGAAATTGACATACTGTTTTTTTGTCTGTTTTCGACTCTACTGATAAAAAAAATGGTCAAAAATGTGATTTTTTAATTAAGTTTAAAAACCTTCTAACTAGCTTTCTTTAAGAAAAAAAAACGGTGTAGAAATTTCAAACAAATTTAAAATTTTTGAGAAGCATGACATAAAAAGAAATATTAAGAAAAAAACAGTGCGTGGAAAACTTTTCTCGGGCAGCGTGCGTGAAAAAATATTTTCGCGCACGCCGTGCGGTAAATTTTTTTTCACGCTCGCTGTGCGGAAAAGTGGTATTTACGGCACGAAAATCAGTGCGTGAAAACGCGTTTTCCGCACGCTCGTAGGAAAAAAGGTTCTGAAACGAGTTTTTTACAACTGCAAAATGATACAACCAAATATGTAGTTTTTAGCCAGTTAAATTTGGAAATCCTTCAAATGTAGTTTAGAAAAACGAAATTAATTTAGGAAAGCAGCAAATAAATTTTTGCATTACCAATTTAACTTAGGAAACCGTCATTTGTATTTTAGATAAAACCATATGTATTTAAGAAAATTTAATCGTAGTTTAGAATTATAATGTAGTGTTTCTCTACATCTATACTGGCCGATTTCTTTAAAATTTCACTCTTATGCCAAAGGACCCCGCAATATGTATTTAAACGGAACGAAAATTGGTTACCCGTGAGGTGGTATCGGCTGTCAAATATTGGAATTTCATTTTCAAAAGCAGGGTGACAATGGCAGATTTTGATAAAGCAAGTATCGATTCTTACTAAGTCGGCCAAGGTTAATCGAAAAATGTCAACTATTTTGAAATTTGTCAAAACCTTGTCAAACGATCCACACATATTTATCAGTTTTCAACATTTCTTGATGTGTCATTTGACAGTTTTAACTTATGTCAATTCTGAGTTGAAAAATTGGAAAAAAAATTACAGAACTGTCAAAACCTGTTATTATTTTAGTACGAAAAGAGATCATATCTGGTTCTTTTTTGTTTTGAGGTAGTTTATTGGTAATAAAACAATGAGCAAAGCATATAGACATCAAATTTTGACAGCTGTCAAAATCTGAAACTTGTGTATAAAGTTTTTTTGTGCTTCATAATAAATAAGCATAACTTGAATAATTGGAACAGAACTTCAGAGTTCAGTTTTTTTTTTCAATTAAAGCTAATGTCAGATTCTGACAGCTGTCAAAATTTGATGTCTATGAGCTTGGTTTACTTGGTTTAATATTTTATCACCAATAAATTACCTTCAAACGAAAAAGAACCAAATGACAGGTTTTAACAGTTCTGTAATTTTTTTTACCTACGAGCGTGCGGTAAAGTGCACTTTACCGCACGTATTTGCAAATGGAAAGTAGCACTTTACCGCACACTATGCGGTAAAGTTAACTTTACAGCATAGTGTGCGGTAAAGTTAACTTTACAGCATAGTGTGCGGTAAAGTATCACATTCCGCATTTGTTAGGTAAATAACTATTATTTTATTTTTGAACTCAGAATTTACATAGGTTGAAACTGTCAAATGACACATCATGAAATATTGAAAACTGAAAAACATGAGTGGTGCCGTTCGGCAGGGTTTTGATGGATGTCAAAATGGTTGACATTTTTCGATTTTCCTTGGTCGAATTATTAGGAATCGATACTTGCTTCATCAAAATCTGCCATAGTTGCCCTGCTTTTGATTATTAGATTCCAATATTTGATAGCTGATTCCGCTTCACCTGTCATATATACAAGGTTGCGCCCCTGGTAAAAAATGTTGCTAACGGCATTTCCAATAACATATATAAATTTCTCCAAATATCACGGGTAACCAATTTCCGTTTAAATGTTGCGGGGTCCTTTGCGACAAGAAATGTCCATCTCTGTGAGTACGTATTTATACATAACTTCATTTAAACTAAATTTCAATTTATCGTTCATTAAAATTCAAATGAATGTTTCTAAAATACATATGGTGTTTCTACAATACAATTGCTTCAATCTGAAATACATAATGACTTTTCTAAAATACATTGGAAATTATCGATAATACAATTCTTACTTCTAAAATACTTTTGAATATTTCGCAAATTAGGCAATTCAAACCACGTGACATTCAAGATGGCGTGGCGGCCACACATGGGCCAAAAAACACAAAAAAATATCTAGTTTCTGCCCGAATTAATAGTTTAGGTACCTAGTCAACAAATATTTTATTAAATAATGAAAATCAAAGTTGTAAGCAAAACTGTATGCAAAATAATTTAAAATACGCATAAAAACATATTCAAAACAAACTTGCTTGGCCGCCAGGCCCCATTGAATTTTCCTTTTTGACAGATGGATTGAATTGCCTAATACATTTGAAAAATTTAAAACACATATGGATTTTTTTGAATTACAAATGTTTATTCTTAAATGCAAATGATACTTTCTTTAATCAAAATGATATTTTCTTGAATACCTACTGTTATAAAGGGTGTAGTAATAAACTTTCCATATAATAACATCATAATAATTATCATTTACCGAGTCAAGAAATGAAGATTACCACTAATTCGTGTATCTTATTACAAATAAATTTACTTATTTGTAATTTAGAGCAAGAGAACCTATAGGATCGTGGAATTTAAAAATAAATAATAAATAAAACATATAGGGGCTCTATATGTGCAAAATTCAATACAGTGTGTCCCAGGGAAAACAGTCCACCCCGATTTATTGGGTTTGGGATGAGAATCCAGGAAAACGCTCGGACACGTCGATGTTTGATTTGAGGGGGAACTATTTTTCAGTTTTTTTCATCCCCGTAGCTTCAAACTCCTAGCTAGGGGGAGAACAACCCCCTAAATTTGAATAGGGAATAGGGGTCGTGTCATACCTCTTTTTAAAGGTCTCATCGAGTTCTTTATGGCCCTAGAATTTCATCTTATTATTTTCATCCGTAACGAAATGACAGCTTGTCAAAATCTTGGAAATGGACTATGTTTTAGTAGGAGTAAAAGCGGTACTTACCTCCCTTAATAAAAATATGATTGAAAATACCTACAATTTACAATTCTCGTGTACACCTCATTAATAATAATAAGAAAAAACTTCATTTCAAGTATTTTCATTAGAGGAGGTAAGTAGCGCTTATGCTTCCACTTAAACTAATAGTCTATTTCCAAGATTTTGACAAGCTGTCATTTCGTTACGGATGAAAATAATGAGACGAAATTCTAGGGGCATAAAGAACTCAATGAGACCTTTAAAAAGAGATATGACATGACCCCTATCCCCTATTAAAATTTGGGGGGTTGTTCTCCCCCTAGCTAGGGGGTTGAAGCTACGGGGATGAGAAAAACTGAAGAATAGTTCCCCCTCAAATCAAAAATTGACGTGTCCGAGCGTTTTCCCAGATTCTCATCCCAAATCCAATAAATCGGGGTGGACTGTTTTCCCTGGGACACCCTGTATAATATCAGTATTGCCATATATCCATAAATAAAATCGACATAAGAATGCAAATATCTGTTTTTAAGAGAAGTATTAACATACCGCCATCTAATACCTAATAAATTTATTTACAAATTGTGGTAGGTTTCTTTAACTATTTTTATTATTCTTCATTGATATTTTTATATAAAAAAATTATGTTCATCCTGCTTTCAGCATATAAATATATTTCTGTTTTTCTCTAACTTCTGATTCTGAAATGATTATTTTTAACTTGATGACCTAATTAATTAGTGGTTTTGTATTTCTTACCTAAACCCTAAACCAAATTATTAGGTATCGTATTGCAACTCGTACACGAAAATCGACAATGACCAAACCACCGCCAATGGATATTTCAATGTAAGTCGATATTTCAAGATGGAAGGATACAATTACGAAATAGTGAAACGTAAGCCCCATGACAACCGCATGGTTCCCCATGGCAACGGTTTGCGAAAAACTCCACCGATCACGTTCATTCAGGCCGGATGTTTGCCAAATTGACAAGAGATAATGGTATGTTTAGAAAATGTTTTCTTTTGTGAATAGACAGAATAGACCTATCCTATCTCGCATAAATAGAAAAAGAGAGCTTAATTGTAATAAATACAAGTTAGAAAGTAATAAAAGATGACATGCGCGCGCAACTCGTGACTACAGTGTAGCTAGATTGTATTGTTGCTCAACAAATGTAGACAATACAAATCGAATATTATAACATTGAAAAAGTGATATTTCAGTGTCAAGTGTTTAACAACGCCTAAATCAGAGAAAGGAAGAGCTTTAAAGTGTATGTAAACATTGTTTGCACTTTTATTTTATGATAAATAATAGGTCTGTTTCTGCAGAAATCACAAACCAGTCAGAGTGAATTTCATTGGTTGAATCTAGTTTTCTGACTGTTTTCAACCAATGAAATTCGCTTTGACTGGTTTGAGATTTCTGCAGAAACAGACCTATTATTTATCATAAAATAAAAGTGCAAACGAAGTTTACATACACTTTAAAGCTCTTCCTTTGTCTGATTTGAGGCGTTGTAAAACACTTGACACTAAAATATCACTTCCTCAATGTTATAATGTTCGATTTGTATTGTCTACATTTGTTCTGCAACAATACAATCTGACTACACTGTAGCCATGAGTTGCGCGCGCATGTCATCTTTTATTACTTTTTGTACTTAAATTTATTACAATTTACCTCTCTTTCTATTTATGCGAGATAGGTCCATTCTGTCTATTCTCAAAAGAAAGCCTTTTCTAAACATACCATTAGCTTTTGTCAATTTGGCTAACATCCGGCCTGGATGAACCTGATTGGTGGAGTTTTTGGAACGCCGTTGCCATGGGGAACCATGCGGTTGTCATGGAGCTTACGTTTCGGTATTGGCCAGGGTACCCCTAATTTCATCCTTCCATCTTGAAATATCGACTTACATTCAAATATCCAATGGCGGTGGTTTGGTCATTGTCGATTTTCGTGTACGAGTTGCAATACGATATTATACGTCCGAAAAGTTCCGCACGCAGCTGGGTAAGTAGTTTATGAATAAAGTCGCCATTTTTTTTACAACTGCATTTCCTTCACCGATGCCCGTAGCCTCAGAATCGTTGGCCAGACATTAACTTTACGAAGTGTGATTTTTCGATAATACTCAAATCTTTTATCCACTTGTGAGACATCACTAGACTGGAAATTTTATGCTTTTTTCAAAAATCGTGAAATCCAATATGGCGGCCATAAGAAAAATGGAAGTTGAAACGGGTTGCGGGATAACAAAAGACGATTGAGACCTGTCATGCACGCTATGTCATTGGTCTTGAAAAAGTGTCTGAATAATGTCACATTTTGACATCTGTCAAATTAGCCATTTCGGGTTAACTGGCAGAAAACGAAATCCGTCATTTTCGGTTTTTCGCCGATATTTCCAAATCTAATTGAGCGATCGTTATTCTGAAGCCGATTATCGAATGCACTTAGCTTCCTCTTAAACTTCCCCCATTTAACCTTTGCTGTAGGTATGATAGGAGCCGAGATCCCTGTATAGAGAAGCGAATCTGGGACACACTGTAAATAATAGAAAAATCTTTTTATAGTGTATTTTTAGGTACCTCTTTTTAAATATTTTTTGACATTTGTAATCCTCTACCGTTTTTAGTAAAATTTGACTTACAAACATGAGCAAACAGGGTATCCTTCTTGACACTTGAAAAAAAAATCACTGGTGCATTTTTGTTTTTTCAGTTATAACCCCACACAAGAAATACTGGTGCAAAGCTGCAATGGATTAAGAAAGACCAAACTTCATTACGATTCTGGAATCCTGGACCAAGAAGCAATGTCTACTGCAAGTATCTGTGATAAATTAGCCAACAGGTAAGTTTTTTTGGTAGGTTATATCAACTGCAGTTATGTTAATGTGTTTTCTTCTAGAGAACCTGAAGCAGCAAGATTATTATCTTGCCGTGTGCATGGCACTACGTCTCCTGTCGTGCGCCTTTCTTCCGAGGATGAATACGAGGCCATGTTTGATCCACTTTTAATTAGTGACTTAGCCTGGCATCAATGTCCAGAAGTTCATAAAGCAATAGATGGTGTACGTTTTATTGCTGATCACATTAAAAGGGAAGAAGATTCAATTAAAGTACGTTACTAGATATCAAAATACGTAGCATGACACCTGAGAATCTCATAGAGCCCATGCTGATAGTCAATGGAATTTGGCGAATTTTTACCATAGTGGAAAGCCGCAACTAAACAGCAATTATTTCAGTTTTCCAATTATTTTCAAGCCCGAGCCTCTATTTTTCAAGAAAGGCTCCATATCGTGTCGAAAGTATCATCAAATTACTTGTCTATTCTAACGGTTTTGATTATTGCATAATAATTTGCAACTTAGTTGTAGTATACATACTTCAGGCGTGTCAAAAGCGTGGAGCAGTGTAGCAAAGGCGGAAAGGCTCCAGTGAATTTGACGAAAGAAAAACAGGAAATAGTAGAATAATAGAATTCAGAAAGTCATTTCAGTTTAAATAATAATAATTCTCGATGTCGTTGATACTTTCGTCTCGGCTCGTAGCCTGCTTAGGTTGATTAAGCTACCATTAAGTCTGTATAGGATGTCTACTCCTGGTGGCAGGTGAAGTATGGAAGATCATATAAATAGAGAAGGCCATGTATAATTTAGATAGAGGGTTTCACTGCTGTGCTCTTTCCCCTCGTGAGTTCCAGGTCGAGACCGGTACGGGTTTCTTCAATAATAAATTAGACGCTGCACAAATTTTTCGTTTATTTCACATATCACAACTGCGCATGCCAAGTAAGTAAAATTGAGTTAGTTTCGACAAGGTTTGTTGAAAAAATTCACACCGTTCAATTTTGCTGAACGAGCCCGAGTATGACATACTACATTTACTTCCTTGGTTTCTTCGAAGTTTGGTGCAGCAACACAAAAAGGTCCTTCAGATTTTTTTGCAAAAAGACATGTTAATTAATTCTTTACGATCATCTACACTCAGACATAACAATACTATCTCAATTCAATATTATGCATTTAATTAAAATTCTTTTAATCAGATAAATTTAAAAATATTTAACCATAATCATTATTTCAATGTTCATTAATTCTCTTCATTAGCAGAGCTCACAGATTCAATATCCATTAAAATTTCCTATCTATATATATAAAAATTAATGCCACTTTTCGTTGTAATTTTATAACTCAAGAACGGGCTCACCTAGCCAAACCAAATGTTTAGGCTTTGTTCGGACTATTTATTAGATGGTTTATGTGAAGTTTGCACAAAATCGGTCGAGCGGTTCTTCATTTATCACATTTTTTGTAATAAATGAATTATTCAATAAATGGAGGATCATTTTGTTAATGGGGATTTTGCTGTTAAATTGAAACTTTTTTCAGCGTTGACAGTACCAGCATGTTGTTATGTCATTAATGTGGTCATTTCATTACTTATTTTATTTATTTATGAAAAAAAAATTACTAAGCTTGCATACGGCGCCATCTCTTATAACCGATACCAAGTTTATTTTGTATTTGTATACCGCGCCATCTCTGATACCTGGAACGAAGCTCGGCATTGCAGATACAGTAGAACTGCTCAGGAACTGGAGCTATTTCGAACAGAACTATTCCACTATTCTGATCAGATAGAGTGGTGCAGAAAGAGTAGATCAGATAGAGTAGTGCAGATAGAGTAGAACAGATGGAGTAGTGCAGTGCATGCAGTGCAGATAGAGTGAAACAGGGCTGCGCTAGAGGTTTTTTTTTGTTTTCTTTACATTCTTTGAACATTCCTGTGCCAGAGTTTATTTATTTGGTGGTACACTTTACAAGAATAATGCCAACAAGCTGCCTAAAAAAGGATGATTTTAATTTTACGTGACTTCTGATCCAGAGAGTAAACATTAATTTTCTTCAACCAAAGCCAAATTCACCATCGAAAAAAACTGAATTTAATTCAGCTAATAGATACGTTAACACAACATTTAATAGGTATATTTATTAATTCAGAGGCGGTACGAAGTTCGCCGGGTCAGCTAGTTTAGGTATACTCAACAAAACAAAAAAGTTGTAGTATAACAACCCCGGGTTCGCTCAGTAAGATTGAACGGTTTGAATTTTCATTACCTTTTAAACAACAAATCTTCTGAAAAATGAAATGAAAAACAAATAGGACCTACGTTGTGGAAACTTACTCAATTTTACTTACTGGACATGCGCCCGACATAGCAAATATTAGGGAAATTTAAGGCAAGTTGTGATATGTAAAAGAAACGAAAAATTTGTGAAACGCCTACTTTATTATTAAAGTAAATCGTACCGTTCTCGTCCTGGAATTCAAGAGGGAAAAGAGCACGGTAGAGAAACCCTCGATCTCAATTCCACAAAAATCGAAACATACTGTGTCATTTTAATAATAACTGTAAGTCATTAATCAATAATCAATAATTTAAGTCAATAATTCAATAAAAGTTTAAATTAGGTACCATCCTTTGTCTTTGTGCTAAAATTTCAATTCCACACACAACATTCAATCAACACTACCTATATTCAATACTGAAGAGTTTTTTGGTTAGTTAACCAGTTTCACCAGCAGGTACTGAGGTCCCATACTGGAAGCTACTCAGCTATAGTTCTTTTTGAGCCAATATCTCTAGATTGATTATTTCAATTTTTCTAGGATGTTCGCTCGTCAGGGTGGTGGGGAAATGTTAGTAAATTCAACAAGGCCCTAATGCACGCACTGAATCCAAAATCAAAATTCCAGCACAAAAGACTGTATAGCTAAAGCACTTAATTTCTTTGGTTTTAATTTACCCTTTATCTGACTTGTTAACACCATGAAACAATTTTTGTTCAATACATAAACAATGCACATATTATAAAAAAATGTTAGGATTAAACAAAAAACTAACATAGAATAATTAAAAAAATACTTTGTATAAATTAAACTTCCAAAACAGGATAACATTTAATCAACTAACCTGTGAATGCTCCTTACACAAACTAATCACAAAAACACCAACTTTTACTTTTATTCAGTGAACGTTTTTTTTTTTTTTTTAAGTTAAGATTTGATGAAATAATATTTTAAATAGGTGGTTTTCCTCAAAGTACTCAAAACTTCACTCAAGTTAATAACATATTTGCGAAGTCCCATTGCCAATTCATTAACTTCATAGTCATTTTAACATTGATAAAGCCAAATAAACATGTCACTAGAGCACTAACATTCCATCCTTAAACGACTAAACTATTCTGAAATATTTCTTTCGATTATTTAGAGCTTGCTCATAATGTTGACCGAAATTAAATGTTCTTTCTTTATCAAGAAGTAAAACTCGTAGTCTTCTCCACAATACTTTATATAAAATTCAGTATTGAATTTTTATTATTATGAGTACATGTTTCGGATATCAATATCCATCTTTAGCTCTAAAAATTAAATAAACCGATAATAGTTTGAGGAAAACATTTTATTTCTTTCACAACTTCTCAACCTTTCAAAAGATTCGATGTGGCGCGTTTTCCCGAGGCAATAAAACAAAAGAAACTCTTCGCGAATTTTATCCGGACTGACTCATTAATCTCAACTAATTGATCGCGACTGCTTGATTAGGTACTGTAGACTTAAAACTCTGAACTGAAGACTGACTGACTCCAAAATTCCGAAACGGCTGTTTTTATATTTTTCCGTCCCCCCAAAAATTTCGGGTCATGTAGGTATATTCATTAACCTTCCTCTTTTCTAAGAAATATATCTATTTGTTTAAAACCGAATATCTAAGTCGCAATTTCCTGGATTATCGGGGTCAACAGATTTGGTATAAGAATGTGAGGACAAACAAATCAAAGAAAAGCCGCCGTAGTTCTTACCGTTTCGGATATAGCAATAGTGGTATCACTTAAAATATACACCCATATTGTTAGGTAGATGGAATGGTAATCATGAACGGCCAATTGAATAAGCAGTTTTTATTCTGCTTTCTTGGGCTAGCGGTCTGGCAATGATTGAAACTCTTTTTTTACTTACGCCGAGCTTTCGGAAAATTTATTTCCTTTTTCAAGGCTACAATATAGAGCAAGATGTTATTAAAATTATAAAATAATTATTAGAATATAACTGAAACTTCCTTGTAAAAACATAAAACCAAGCTTCCTTCAAAAATTAACAATAAAATATAAAAAATGTATATGGTAGAATGGTGTAAAAATGATTAATATACTTTGAAAAATTCAAAACTTATGATAGACCTTGGTTCCTATTTGTTAATGTACCTTTGAGGAATTTAATAGGTAATAGGTAAGTACCTATTAATTTTTAAATTTATAAAATAGAATTTAGGGTATTAATTTAAGAAATTTATTTCATTGATTAGATTTTTGATGAAATGAAGAATATTTGAATATATTATGTTTAAATCTTCAATATCTTTTCTTTTATTCAAAGAATTATCTTCAAGATAAATCTCAATCATTTCAAGAAATTTCCTTCTGTTATTATTAGGTTCTTTATCTAGTATTTTTACATTGATAAAATCTACGTTATGATCAGTATCTATGAAATGTTCAGATAAAGTACAAGATCTTTCTTGTAATCTACAATCACTCTTATGTCTTGTTATTCTATCTTTTAGAACAGTTGAAGTTTGTCCTATATATGATTTTTCACAATCAAGACACTTAATACTATAAACTACTCCTGAAACTTTCAATACATCAGCCCTATCTTTCAACTTAGAAAAATTATTACCTATATTTAAAATATGCTTGTAGCTAATTTTCACATTAGCAGAAGAGAGTATTTTTTCTAATTTAGGTATGAGAAATTTCTTTTATATAAGGTAACGAAAAATGATAAATTGTTTTATTTACATTAGCCTCAGTTGAGTTATTAGTTATGTTGATTTGTGATAGTCTTAAATTATTGTTAGTTAGTGATTGTTCTATTGTTGAGTATATTAATCATTTTTACCCCATTCTACCATATACATTTTTTATATTTTATTGTTAATTTTTGAAGGAAGCTTGGTTTTATGTTTTTACAAGGATTTGCAAACTTATTGTAACTCACTTTACACGTAAGTTTTAGTTATATTCTAATAATTATTTTATAATTTTTA